AATGGCAGTACTGCACAAGTTATATGCAGTAAAATATGCTACATCTTGAAGTATGCAATACTTGATGCATGTAAGTCCTTACAACACACTTTTATGTTTAAAAATAAATCTAATCAAGTTGCAGCTAATAAATATGTACATTAAGCTTCAAAGTGTGAATTTGAGGATATTTATAGCGTGAGAACAGAACGACAACAAAGGAGCTTTATTTCCGGGCTATAACTATCATCATGTCCTACCAACTAGCCCCAACCACCACACTTCTAAGTGACTTTGAGGCAGTGCAATTTCCTCTGAATAAGTGGTCTCATGGCGTGGCAACCCGTGCCACAGTGAAACCACCTTGTCAAGTGGTTGCATGAGATAAAATGTACGTCTACTCGCTTGTTCCAAATAGTTCAAAATTGAGAAAAATTCCTATTCATGCCGAAACAAATTTGAATATTGTGATTTTTATTAAAACATTGGAAGCCCTTGAAGATTATCCCCCCCCCCCACACACACACACTAACAATTAAGGATTGTTGGTTATCAAATGTATTGTTGTGAGCTACCGTATTTACTCGCGTAATCCTCGCACTCGCATAATTCTCGCACCCCCCACATCGCCCAACAAAAGTACAGTTTCTTTTTTTCCTCGAGCAATTATCGCACCCCTGAAAACTGCTGCAATAATGTCGTCTGCTCTTTCCAGCCACTGATGATGATAGCACACGCTATCTGGTGCCATCTCTTTAAGCATCAAGCGTACTATTCTACAGAGATTCAATCCAAGTCAAGCCAAAGTGGCCAGTGTGCGTTGCGGCGTGTTTTGTATGTTGTGTCGGTAATCTTGTCACGTTATGAGGCGATACTGAAGCTGTACAGCTGCTTTCAAGTTGCAAGTGATAGATCATGCACTAAACAACGGCAACAGGGCCGCCGGTAGGCCCTTCGGAGTCTACGAGTTTTGTGTTCGCTACTGGCGACGGCAGCTTAAAGCCACCAAGGCGCGTTGGGTCTGCCGTGTGCCTAAAACTGGGATTGATGGTTTGATGGAATTGATGAGCAGCACATATCAACACTTTTTTTTTTTTTGAAGCAGCTTGGAGTAATAGGCAATATGCGAAATTTAACAGCGCCATCTAGTGAACGAAGCAGGTACCATATCCGCCATTTTGATGCTGGCGAGACTTGACCACTACGCGCGAACGACCCACATGCGAACGTACCCGTTTCAACGCTTCGGCTGTCGCAGTCAGATTTTTTTTTTTTTGCTGGCAAAATGCCAGTACACTGCTGTGTGCTGCTGTGCAAGCAGCGCGGAGTCACAGACAGCGATGGGAGCAAGGTATGTGGCATGAATTACGATTTTGCAGCGATCATTTAAACGCAAAACAGGGTATGGCGTGCACAAGCTTTATGGGCACACTCTAGGATGCATGTATCTCCGCGGTGCACGGGCTGCACGAGAGCAATGCAGGACTAACCATTTTTCTGTGTTACGCGGCCAGGCCGTGTTTTTATAGGTTTGTCAGCTTTGCGGCTAGGTGTTTTCACTACGTCGGGCCTCTACACGACAGTGGTGCTCTTCGATTTACCGTCTCGAACTCGCTGAGAAGCTGTGTGGCATTCAAATTTTCTTATGACTTCAGGGAAGCCTCGGACTACCCGCGGACTATACGCGGTGAGTCTGAGATGGTAAATCGAAGAGCGCCGATGATTCCCTGCATTTGAATAGAGATTCCGCCACTGCTGGTGGGGTAACTAGTGTGACAGAACCAAACTGTTAGGACGGGCTTTTTTGTGACGAGATTACACTTTTAGGTAGACGACGTATAAATGTTATTTTTGAAGGTGATTGTGCACTTAGACATGCAGAGCTTCCGCTACTCCGAGTAACATGCCGTACACGCATCCTAGAAAGGCAGCTCGGTTGCTTGTCCGCGTTCAAGCTCCGTTGTGTCCGTAAGTACGGTCACCACGCAGCAATAAAACAGTCGTTCGGAAGATAAGGGCTATGCCCACTTTGGAACAAAAAAGTATCTGCTCATGCACTTAACTTCAATTCCCCCAATGTGTGCGGACGCAAATTTTTTCATTGGGGCCTCTCTCACTAATTTTCGTTTACCAACGAAATAAAATCGAAATGATACCGGGGCGCACTGCCGTAGGTTTCGAAAACTGGCACTATGAGTATCGCCAGGGCTGACTGAATAACGTCTGCATGAGTTCAGAGCACGGCAGTCCTATTTATTCGTAAGACGGGATTCATTCTCTGCATTTTAGTTTCTTTGGTTCAGTTGCGTTGCAGCTGTTTTTTGTGTTGCAACTCACCACATTTGAAAAATGTTTCATGTTGCATTATAAAACATACAGCTGTGGAGACAGCCATAACTTAGTTGTATGTGATTCAGCGTTTTGGCTGCCTTACACTCGCAGCTCCCAGAAACATTTAAAGCTACTTAGATAAAAAAATAACTGATTTAAATTCCCCCGAGTGTCCACAAGTGACTAATGCCTCTTAAGGCTTGCTGTGAAGGGCCATATCTAGGAAAGGCTGGTAAGAAACGGGAGTGTGCACAGAAAAAACGGAGGGGGGAGGGGGTCATAATACATGTGCATCATTAGTCCTGCAATGCACATATAAGTGTGACCTCTATTTTCATATTACAAGTGCATCATTAGTCCTGCAATGCACATATAAGTGTGACCTCTATTTTCCTTTGAGATGAATTTGTGATAGTGCCTGTGTTTGTAAACATTAATCGTTTAAACAGCTAAGAGAAACCTAGCTCATGTCGTCGCACTGAATGTTTGTTTGCTTATATCTTGTAGGTATCCTTCCACCGCTTTCCGAAAGATGCAATGACATACAAGTGGCAAGATGTGGCAAGATTCCTAAACAGTTTGTCCACATCACATGTTCGAGCACTGGGAAACGTCTTGCTGTGGCCATCGCAATAGCTCAGCACAATGAAGCAAGTGTTCAGGAGTCGTACGGCCGTACTAGCGAACGCGTTGCCGTCGACCGCTCGCCCACATTAAAATGGCGGCGGGGTCAAAATTCACAGTGTTGCCAGAGCACAAAGCAATTTCGCATATGGTCCATTGGAGCTGCATTTGCATCTGGGTCATTCCAAGTGAAACGTCCCTGCCCAAAATTCAACCACCAGCGATTCTATATAAAAAAAAATGAGCTAGAAGATAAGTGCATGTTAGTTTCGTTCAAAAAAAATTTCCTAATCATGTGACCGCCTTTTGAATGTTCTGGAGAAAAGCAAGAATTAGGGGGGAATAACTTATGTGCATAGAACCTTGAAATTCGGCACAATGACACATCGTGGTTTGAAGCATTGCACTGTCATTGTGCTTTCCCGTGACATCACAATAAAGCCATATATTAATGTTCACGCTCAAAAAGGCTTTTTGAGTATGAAAAAGGCTTAGCAAAGAAGCTTTAAAACATGCAAGTTCAGACATTTTTTTGTAAACAGCAGCATAGCTTCAGCTGTAAAAGTTTTTGCCATTATTACCAGTTAATATAGCGTCTGTGAAAAATACTTTCACCTCATGTAAAAATGGGCCGACCTACAATCCGGCAGTATTCTTGCAATTTGACAGTTCAGATGCAGATCCCTTGCAGGTACATCATATCGAATGTAAGTAGTGCCTCGCAGATGTAATTTTTTAGTGTCACTGTTGATATGTGGAACACAAAGGTGTTTCACTGCCAGATGATTATCAGAACTTTTTAACTGAACCATTTTATGCCCACACTGGCTTGCCGTCATAATAACAGCTATCTTTCGTATACTGCACACCAAACATCACAAGTTTACGCAAACAAGCCTAATCGATGCTAGTCACTAAACACTTCATGCTCACAATGGGGCAGAACATGAAATATATGCACAGGCTATTGACAATTGGATTCGGCAGCACCACTTTACACCAGAATAAAGTTTTAGTGGGTGTACTTTGACAATGCATATTATTTACAAAGGGTTATTTTAACTTGTTATTTGCACGAATGGCAAGACAACCATACTGAAACAGACAAGGGTCAAGAGCTGTTCTGAAGGATATTGGAAAGTAGGACTACTATAGAGCAGCTTTTCTACATGCCCCTAACTAGCACATGTCAAATTTCGGATCACGATTAGTCGCTGACACCTTAGTCAATGTACGACCCTAATATTTCAGGCAGCTTTAACAATTCAGCTCATTGAACAACGATATCATAAATGTGATTAAACAAAATATGCAAGGTGCACATTTCCACTTCCAGCAAACTTGTATTGTTAGGCACACCTGTTTCACTTCATCATGACCACCTGTCACAGGTTGAAAATAGAGCAGCAATTGCTTGATGAAAGCTACAACAGAATGTATAGGAACCCTGATAAATTTTCTTTAATTTTCTGAAAAGGTTAGCTTCACGATGCGAGTAGTTGAGTCTATTCTGCAATTAACACACGTGCCAGCATTAACATTAAAACGTTTGAAGCGGCATGTATAAAATCCTACGTGTTTCACCAATAATTAGGTTATCGACAACCAACAGCCATGCTTTCTTCTGCCATCATACCACATGAGTTACTTGCTTTTACTATGAATGCTTTTTTTGCTGGGCACACATTTGCCTAAAAATAGCTCAGTCTTTAACAGTTTCACTGCTTGAGTCCCGACCATCACTGTCACGAGACAATATTTGAAGCTTTGCCAGAAGGTTTGCCATAAACTTTAGTACTTTCCACTACATGTGTACCCCGATATGATGAACCCAGATATAGAAGAATTTCAGTTATTACAAAGTCAATAAAAAAATAGTCTCATAATAAATATACTGTTATTATTAAACTTTTGTAACAAATTTTTGGACATAATGAACTTATTTTCGTGTAAGATGCAACTTTGTTGTAATGAGGTTGGAGTGTACATCCACAGTGCAAAGGTGCATTACTGTGCACAGCACTGTTTTGGCTGAAGCTCGCTGTAGAGAACCTGCCACTCAATGCTTCGTGAGCGCAACATATTGAGGCTTGCACCTGCACATTCGCACATGGTATTTGAGGTAGTCCTTGCGAGCAAAGCGCTTCAGGCAGTCTGGACATTTGAACGGTCGCTCGCCTGTGTGCGTCCGTATGTGGTTCTCGAGCACATGCTTGTAGGCAAACCTCTTTGGGCACAGGTGGCAATGGAATGGCCTCAACCCAGAGGCAGCTAAGTTCGGCTCCAACGTGGCCATTCCTACACCGGACGTCCCCAGAGCAGGGATGCAGGAAACCTCCGAGCTGATGCGCTGCAGCTCGCGACCAAGTGGGCTGTCGATGCTGCTTGACGTGTCGGAGTTGTGCACTGCTGCCCAGGACATGCGGCTCGGCGCGTAGGCGGTTGCGTGCGCAGATGAGGGCCGGCTGAAAGTCGATTCTTCCAGAGGCCGAACGGACAGTGGCTCACCACTTTCTGCAAACAATGCACAAGAAATAATACAGGCCCATGTATAAACCAGACGCAAGCTTCTCAGCCATATTTGAAATAAAAGCAATAAAGGATCTCAAAATAATAAAAGAAATAATCAAAGCAATAAAGGATCTCATAAAGCCCTTCCAAGTGCAGTCAATCTGCCCCTTCGGAGAAGGCAAAGAGTAGTACCTGTCCATCCCTACGAAGAGGATATACTCTTTGGTTCATCTTCATAATTTGCAAGTGTGAAATACAGTGTGATTAATAAAGGGTATTTTCTACAATATGCCAGTCAGTGACACACCAGTTGTGCTATAAAAATGTGTATGAAAGCAATGCCTTTCTCATGCTCACATGTGAAAGTGACTAATGTTTAGGTAAAATTAGGGAGCCTTTCTGATATGCTTGATCAAAATGATACCAATGCAGATGTCATGGAGGACCGTGAGAAGTAACCAATCAGTATTTGAAGAAATTTACGCTTTATTTCATTACTTTTCATTTCTACAAAAAAAAAATAATTAGATGCCTGTGAAGTGTTAAAAATAACATGTCACAATGCATGCCCAAGCCGGCTATCTTGGAAACATTTGGAAAGTAAAGGAAAGATCCTGATCAATCATGTGCATTCAAGAAGCCAGTTCGATTTTCAGATGGTTTTAATGTTTTGCTTCGGAATAAGGAACGAGAAAAAGTTATGAAAGCTCCCCGTACATTGGGGAAAGCACATGACTGCTTGTTTTTCATGAAACAATGTCCTTATTTTATTGTGACAGCAATTATAGGAATACTCCAGGAGCATTTTTGCCATCACCATTACTGTTGACACCACTGTGAGGTTTCACACAAAGTCCAAACGTGATATCACCCGAGCGTTGCGTGCTGTATATGTGGATGAAAGCGTGAGAGGGCATCTGACGATCGTGGCTAAAGTGATAAGAAAATGCACTGGTAGTTTCCTTTGAGTGAAAGGCATATGGGGAGCCTCAGGGGAAGGGTGCATCTCTTCGGCTAAACAGCATACTTCTATCAAAGAGGCGCACTTGCATGTGCCCTATCTTGATAGTGATCAGAAGACAGCTCATACCTTTGTACTTGCTGTTCACATTGAAGCGATAAAAATTGTCAAGGTCACTTTGCTTACCACAACTGGTGTGTTTCTTAGCACCAGGTTGGATTCCAAAGGAGTGAACTGCTAGCCATCATACACCATTCTAATTTGTTGCTTCGCCTTTGTAACGAAACTGACTCACATGATGTTTACTCTGAGGTGTGAGCAACTGACAGAGCTTCGCAAATGGTGACCAAGGAGCTGCTCTAGCGGACAGGTGTTCATACCAGCAACCACAATGTACCCCGTGTAACATACACAATCGCCTCTGTATACACCTGTTTATCAAATTCGTTCTTTGCAAACTCATGGCGATGTATATACAGAACATTCATATTCCGAAATCATTCAGATACTTGGAAATTTTTCTCCTGTGCTACTGGTTGGCTCAGCAGCCCTGCTACTTGAGATGCAGCTCTAAAAAATCAGTTGGGAATCAGTTGCATTGCAACGAACTTGGTTGAACAGTTTGCATTTATTCCCAATGTTAACATACCTGAATGCAATCTCTGAGTGGCAATGCAGGTGTCAAGAAGTTGCTTTTTTTTCCATTTGTTTTCTTTATGCAACACAAAATGTAGATCGATTTAAATGCTATAAGCCATTTCTCAACATCTTCCACAATCTCTGCATTGACGTCTTATCGCTTAAGCCAATAAACGTAGTCACATTCAAATTCTGTGCATAACAAAATATTCAAGTGCAAACAATACACATCGAACATATGGTGAACTACAATAACCCAATGTTATAAATCATGTTTTCAATTTCAGGCAACATGCACTAGAAACTAACAGTACCCATTGACCAGCATTAATTTGCTTTGGTGGTAATTTCACCTGCAACAACATATATGAAGAAACTAAAATGTTCCCTACATTTCGATACTGCATCCATACCAACTAAGCAACACTGTAAAATTGATTATTTATCATCATTCGTACTATTCAATACCAAACTTTAACAAAAACAACCAATTTTTCAGCCATTGGACTTTGGACAACTGAACTTTGCAGGCTCCATCTGCACAAGTAATGTCAGGAAAACTGTCTAGCAAAGTCAGTATATCGTGCCTCTAGAAACATTTCATGACTGGTCAGCACATCCTGGTAACACAGACTGTATGAATGCCAAAGTTATCAATTTATTAGAATTTCTTCAATAAGATATTGAATAGAAAGTTGGCCTTTCTTGCATTATAGAGAACACTATCACACTTCTGAGGGCACCACTTTCACTATGAAAAGACACTTGGCAAACTAGAAAGCTTGAAAGAAGAAAAAAGGAAAAGCGGCAAATCACTTCGAAGTTTCTGCACCAGCTTGCAATGACGTCAATGGGTTTGACAGTGCTCAGGCCAACATAAACATTTGTCGCTAAAAATGCTGAACATTTGTGTTCTAAAACACGCAGTCATAACATTGCAACTTTTACAAAATTTTATTGAAACAACTGTAACCAAAAATACAAACTAATAACATTACACCAACGTCACATGCTTAACTTTTGGTGTGAATTCAAACATGAAACTTTGACGTTCGATTGGTCTTGTAATAATTAACCCATGATAAAGAAATTAATAGTGTTAGTGGCCTGAAGTGGTAATTTGTTTAAATAAGTTTCATGATCCACTTTAGCATGAATTCAGTGTGCTCCACCAATATGTTTTTATGTTTCTTGTGCAATAATGTCCAACCATCCTTTGCTTCAGCAATGTCATTTTTTAATATGCCCTTTGTGTAGTGTCAGTATTAGCTCCATTTAACTAGCAGCCCTCATGCCATGATAAGAATAAAAAGCTTTTGTTTCACGATCATTGGTTCAAAGAAGCAGTTAGAATTATTTTCTTCAAACGGATGGGATATTCATTTCACAGTCTGGAGAATTCTTCAAGCCCAACACTATCCTCCCAGCTCAAAAGAATCGAGTGTTTCCTTTCGCACTTTCAAGAGGTCTACAACTCGCACCATCACTCCAGAAAACACCAGGACATTAACGAAGCAAGACCTTGGCTTTGAGGCTGAAATCTCGTCTTTCCTGATCATCTAAAACTCGACCACCACTCTTTTTCCTAGAGCCGTTTGGTGACAAAGTTCTTTTGTATAAATACGGGCCTTGTGTGTGCCATCCTAGAACGACAACATCACACCATGTAGTCATCTATGTGAATTACGTTATCTTTCCCTGTTGTAACAGCTTCAACCTTCAGTGCTTAGAAAGAGGCTTCATTGCACTTCATTGCATGGACGACCACTATCAGAAAGGGAATCAAAGAACTTGACTCACACCACATGGTGTCTGCCATAGAGAAACCAGAGTGTGCAGTGCAAATATGGCCAAACATAACAGACAAATTCCACCATAGTCATGTGGGCCCCCAATTTGTTAGTAATGAGAAGGTTGCACTATCTATTTGCTCACTGTGACCACTGGAGTCTCCGCTTGGAAGTATCTGTACAGAGACAGCTTCAGCAGTTCTTGAGCTTTCTATCGGCAGCTGGTAGTCATGAGTTCCTACACAATCAAAAACGTTCTCCTTCCTGGCAAATATAGACTGCTCCTTATACAGAAGATAATGTAACAAAGTTTGAGAGAACTTCTGCAATATTTGAAATAGACACACGGCACGTATTTCATTTTCTTTTTTCTTTTTACATCATATCATATGCTTGTTTTGAAACACGGTATTATAATTACATTCATAGTAACACACATCTTTACATATCTTTCATTACACTTTCTAGCTGGATGGCTAACTCAAGCAAAATAAACCAATAAACAAAAGGCCTTTCAATTTACAGCAGCCTGTCACAACCTATGTTCAATAGCAAAAGATGCAGAAAAAAATGTACAATATCATAAGGAATCGATTCAACAAGAAAAACCAAACACTGACCATTTAAGCAAATGAGGTACAATATGCAGAAACTGCAGCAAATGAAAAGCAAAAACAATATCTGCCAAAGGCCATAATTTGTAAGAATTTCTTTCTTTCAATTCTAATCTTGCTAGGCTACATTTTGCCAGGGGTGCTAATTTCCAAAAAAGCAGCACAGTACGACATATACATTCCCAAGACAAAGAAAAGGCTGCCTCAAAAATCCTTATGCAACATCATTATAGCCCATAATTTTACATTGCAAGCTTATGCTGAGCAATACAAGCATCGACAATTAATCCAGCGCATATAAACCTGGCTCATCCAAATTTGCTGAAAAAAATCAAGTTATACGACAAGTTTAACCGGTCAGTCCAGCCTACTTTTTCTCTTGATGTGAAGCCTAGCCCACAAGTGAAATATCCAATGCAATGTCTGTTATAGCAGACACAAAATCCAAATACCAAAACAAAAGTACACACACATGCAGAATTATTCTCTGACAGGTGACTAAGTCAAAAGCCCACAGCTCCTGCCAAATGCACAAGTACAACAGTGCAGTTTTCTGGGCCACTTGGCACGTAATGTGAAGTGAAGTGTTCCAGCAAGTTTCAAGTGCCTTACCAAGTGTATACGTGCACGGTCTACAGAACCAGTGGAAACAACACAGCAGCAACAAGAACGGTGGAAAGAAGGATGATAGAGAGAAGGATACCACCGAAAAAAGTCGCTAGCTTTGAAGCCGGTCACACAGTCACCCGTATAAGGAACCGAAATGGTCCCGAAATGGCGGGTCAGTTTTTTAAAGTTGAACTTTGGAAACTTTACTATAAATGGCTGGAGAGTTTATTTTATTGGAACAAGGCTGGTCCCGAGCGTTATTCCCTGGTTGTGCTCAGGTCTGTAACTTGCTGGAATCCTTCACCTCACACGAGCATAAATATGAGTCAATGGTCGTCCAAGCCTCGAAATTGCGCAAAAGACTATGCGCCACTGGTCCTACAAAGGTTC